GTCAGACGGATTTAAGACTGGAAATTATGAAATATATACTGAATGTCATAAACATACTCGTTTATATTAATTCAGCATCGAACAATACTAGTTCTGCAAGTGTTATGTTAATCCGTAATATGTTAAGATTATATATTAATTTGAAAATAGAATGTTTTCTATTATTCAAAATGTTCAGTTTAAGAAATGCCAAAATGAATTTCAGAAAACCCTTACGAAAGACTTAAATAACATTCGTAGTGGAGATAAGGTTTTAGTGTCCACAAATAAAGCAACTTAACAAACTTTTACAAGTTAGTCGACGAAGTTCTACAAGAAAGCTACCGCTAACATAACATAAGATTATAGCTGAGAATCTTGGACTTGCCAACCGAATCGACGCATTAGCACCCAAAGATAGCTTCGTAACATTGAAAGATCACAAACCTAATTTTCAAAACAATGCAACCTGTAGACTAATCAACCCTTCCAAATCAGAAATCCCACCTGGGGGCCCTTACAAATATTTTGTGGGACCCCAGTCATTTTTTTGGGCGAAATATTTCTGTTTTTCGGGCGAAATATTTTTGTTTTTCGGGCAAAGTACCGCGATATGGTACTGAAAAATTTGGGGAAAGTGACACGGAAGGAATTAAAGCGTACTCGTCCGGAAAAAGTTTTCCCTAAAAAGTTGGGGTCATGCATGACTCATGCATTGTCCGGAAAAATTTTTTTTTGAATAGGGGCCCCTAAAAAAATTTTGCCCCGGGCCCCCGACAAGCTCTCGGAGGCCCTGCGGACACACAGGAGGAGAGTTCAAAACAAGATATAATTGTCACACTATTCTAGAAGTACTCTATAAACTAGCTGGAGTATTATTAAACAATGCAAGAGCTACAACAACACAACAAAACGCTGCAGTCTTTGTATATACATGAAAAATTCATTATAATCTTACCACCCTGAACTTTGTTCTTTAAATTCAAGGAGTGACGCAGACATAGAAACAAATTTCTCTTAAGCAAGATATATTATTTAAAACAATCTATATGCAATCTATATGTATAATCTAATACTTGAGCATTACCTCCTCTGGACCTCCTTTCCAATACATCAACAAACTTTATTTCTTCATCGTCAAGTTTATCAATTTTCGCGTTCTTTGCTTCAATCTTGTGCCCATCTTTTGGACGAGGAACCTTCGTGGATGGTGCAAAGATACTATTTAAAATAATGAGACCAAGATTATCATTATTTTCCTTTAGGACATCTGCACAAGCATCATACAAATTTTTAGGCTGCAATACTCCATTTGGAAGACGCGTGTATTCACCAACCTCTTCTAGGTCGTAGCCCTTTTCCCCGTACAGGTTTTCCATCACGATCACTGGGGCAGTCACCTTCAAAGCTTCAAATATGATTGTTTTAACAGTAGTCTTTATCTTTTCCATGTTGTCACACCATATGTCGACATTCCTAGATGGGCTTCCACATGCATGGGTCATAACAGCCACAACATTTGGATTGATAGGATCAACTAACTTAAGTAGTTTGACGCATCTCAACGATTTCGTAAGGTGGCTGTTTTCTCCTTTCAATCGAGTATCAGTTGCATTTACAACCAGAAAAATCAAGTTTGGGTAATGTCCTGTCAGCTTTGGATGTGTACGAAAAAACTCCTGTATAGAAAAAAAGTTGCATGCATCTTGGTAGGAACCGTCAGTGTCACCAAATCCTGGAGTGTCAACTACTCCTAGTGGAAGATCTTTAACTTCATATCGTGGTTCACTACCGTAGACAATGAACTCTTGAGTGGATCTTGTTTCTGACTTGGAATCATTCGTTTTTGCAATTTCATCCTTTGTGCCCAAGAGATGATTAATTGTACACGATTTTCCAACGCCAGACTCGCCAACTAACAGAATTGAGACATGATTCATGCTTCGTCCAGTCATCCCTGAACTGTTGATGTAATCTACGAGCTTTGCTCTCGGTTTTTGTAAATCAGGGTTCGGTCCAATCAAACCCAAGGAATGGGCTTCCACAAATAAAGTTTTTTTATCACGCGGCAACGGTTTCATAATTGGCATAACTGATTCTGGAGAAAAAGTAAATAATTTCAATTAGGCCACATAAAAATTACTTGTCTAGCGTCCCCGCCCCGACCTGATAAAAGTCCCCCGACCTCCAAATTTTTTTTCATTTTTCCGAAAATCCGTCCGAGTTCAGTGCAAAAACTCTCTATAAAAAAGGCCGTTTTACTTTTAAAAAATGGTGATTTTATTCTTCCGGAAGCTACGTAATACGTTTACATGAAGTATTTCCTTCCCAGAATATGCCTGTTTGCAAGTAAAGTGTTCGCGCCAATGAACTATAAGTAAACTGGAACGACAAGTCAGGAGCACTGCTTCCGTCTGATTTTCAGCCAATTTTTTGGGAAAAGCAATAGTTACTGCTCAGAGCAGTCTGAGCAGTAACTATTGCCTCCGAGTTACTGCTGAGGGAGACAATCAGAATGCTCAAAGGACATTTTTCAACACTGAAATTATACTAAATATTCATATTTTTGAATTACCACTATTAATAAAAATGGATGTAAGTTTTCTTATTTTGACGTAATAGCTATTTTTCAATAACTATATGATATTAAACTTATTGAATCAATATTTTAAGTTTTAGGCCAGTTGTACCAAAAAACATTTATAGCTGATCGGATATTATTGTTGATATTATCAAGGATAACTTTACTGACTTTCCCAAGTTCACCTTCCGATGGATTAATCAGGCGGCATTTTACATTGGGGGGGGGAAGTTTTCTTTATGATCTTTTATTGTAATGAAGGCGTCACGTTTAGCCATAACATCAACACGGTTTCCAATGGAGAATTTGTTAGTAATGTCCCGAAGCTCCTCGTTCATATCATCTGTTATGTTGCTATTACCAATTTTATAAGTTTTTGTAATGTTTTCTGTCAGTAGTTTTTTATAAGATTCCGGATCAGTCTCATAAACGTTAGTTGTCTTGTCAGCGAATACAAAAACGTTTTTGGAAGAATTAACATTCTTAATGTCTTCATTAACTTGTTTAAGGAAAGGATCATTCACATTCCAAAACGAAATATTTGATATCAGCTTAATAAGGTCTTCTTCAAATCCTTTCATTTCTTTAACTGGTGGCCCGCATTTCTTAGATGGTAAACCAAACTTTCCGCCTTTTTCCTTACCACTGTTTCCTTTCAGGTAAAAATGAGCTTTCCACCTCATATACGATGCACTACGCTTTCAGTTTTATATATATATATATATATATATATATATATATATATATATATATATATATATATATAGAGAGAGAGAGAGAGAGAGAGAGAGAGAGAGAGAGGATATTAGACGGTTGCGAGAAGATATGGATTTTATGTTCGAGTGGCAATATTGTTTTCATATGGTGTTCATATTGTTTTTGACACGAGAACATAAATCCATAGCTTCTCGATGTTCTGTTTATTATATGGACTTACTCAGAGTAACAAAAATAAACATAAAGACGACATTAGTGCAAACATAAAACTAGAATAAATTTTACTTATCTCAAGG